GTCTTGCATGTGTGCTTACTAGTTGATAGTTTATATATAGATAGATACATAGTCTAATTAAATTAAAGACAATTTTCACTGGAAAATGTTGTGTTTTTGTTATCAATTGTTTCATACCTAAAAGAAAGCTAGTGGTGAAAATATCATTTTGTGTTGTTTTATTTTGTTTCCATGGGGATATTCAAATTAGCACCGCGCAAAGCATTTCACAATAGATATCTGCGCTTGTAAATTTCTTATGCATTTAGAACAATGTTTTTGTGGTTTTCTGAAGTTTATTTTTTTATCTGCAGAAGCTTAAGAATTCTCTGACTGGAGATGTTTGTAAAGAGGTATGTGTATGTTTTTTACCATGTAGTCTGAGATTGAAAGGTTGTTTTCAGGGAAGAAATGTGTATATCTTTATAGTCTCTAATGGGTTATTACAAGAATACTGCATACTGTATGGGATCTTCTGAACAGCTGAATTGTCTTTATTTTCTGCCAGATGTAAATTAAGCATAGGGTGCCTGTCATTTTATAACCAGCTTTTAAATGGCTGCAATCATAGTGGAGTGTGTTGGTGACCACTTTTGTTGATCATATATTTATTTCACTGTCATCTTGCCACGTATTTCTAGGAGTCATATAATCAATTTGACTTTTGCTCAAAATCAAGCAATAGAATCAAGTTACAGGCAGTTTCATGCATTTCAATGCCGGCTCTAAATAACGATGTTTGTATTCCAATCTATATGTTGATTATATCATGGGCATCCTGTGATCTGATTGGTGGAAACTGCCCAGCTATGTTAGAATGAAATTCACGAAGTACATTTTTCAAAAGATTATAAAGAAAAACCTTAACCTGTGTTTTTTGTAATAAATATAAAAAAAAAAAGTAACGAACAACCACGCTTTCATTTCAGAGTGATGTAATAGCAGAAGATGATATTGAGGACGAAGACGAAGAATTCCTTCCTGCAGGATTACGATTACCTCAGTTAGAACAACAGCTTGCAGAGGATGAGGTAATAATATCTTTGTTCTTTTTCTTCACTGAGCTGGCAGCATGACCTCAGTTAGTGTTTAATTTACAAACATTACTAAGTTTCTCTGTGGAATGGAGGTGGGGTGTTGGGTACATCACAAATCTATCTGTTCCATTTAAACACAGATTGCCAGTGGTAGAGTGACCAAGTCAAGAGGCAGTGATCCCTTTATATGTCCCTTTGTACGCCCTGAAACTGATGGTTCCAACAACTCGGAGAGTCCGAGCACACCCGACCGAGAAGTTGCTGCAACGTTAGCAGGTGCGTTGATGAACTTAGAAAACTCTGAGGAAGATGATGAAAAAGATGATGATAAGGAAGTAATTATCTACCTGCCAAGCGAAGAGGAATCTGCCAAATCTGAAAAGTGAGTGAGGGACTGTAGTTAAGATTACATGACCTGTCTTTGACTTTGATGTAAGATATACTCTCACCATCAGAAGACCTATTCCTAATTGTACACAAACTACAGTCCTAGTAACTAGGACCACCATATGCATATGAACTGTGATTGTGTCAGTAAATTCAATAAATACATGTAATTGTCTTTATACAGTGGAGAGTTCTGTGTAACTGAAAATGTGGAGTCTATGAAGATGTACGCAAAAAGGTTTAAAAAGGTTCCACGCTCTTCGTCAGCTGAGAGAAAGATGAGTTTGGAGAGTACGGAGAGTGATAGCACAGATAAAATGGGTATAAATCAAAATGTTTTCTGTCATCCTTTGAAGTTTGAAGTTAAGTCGTGCAGTGCGCGTGTTCGAATTTCATGTAAATAAACAATGTATTTTACATGTGTTGTATACGTCGCTATGAGTCCCATATCGAACAGGACGCGGCACGACGACTGCCGCCCTTTAATTATGTACGATATCTATTACATCTGATGAATTGCCATGGTAACCATATTGACAGTGATTGCAGTTTTGCAATTATTGAACGCTAACTTTTCATTGGTGTACATTTCAGGTATCATTAGTGTTGACAATTCTGACGAAGATGATGAAGAACGTCCAGACACGCCGTTTGAAGAACAAAAGGATGAACAAACAGATGATGAAGAGAAAGAAAAGGTGTTCCTTAAGAACAACTATGAGAACTTAGCGGAGGAGAAATTTGAGACTAATATAGATCAGCTCGAGGTTACTGGTAATAGCTACATGCAACAGTTACAGAGCGGGCGTCTCAGTATATCGACAAGATTCTTAACTCGTGCACAACAAAACCATCTCAGGTGAGTGTGTCTTCATCATGACATTCTCGCTTAATGTATCACTGAGAATTGTGTGTACTAACAGGCCGTGTGTAATACTCAAGTTATCTTAGTTTTTTGTGTTTTCTTATATTGCCATGTCTAATTTTAGTGCCATTGCTTTCTTATTTCACACACTTTGTAGGAATTATCAACCACAGTTGAGAGTTCATAACAATTGTATTTATAGCCGTCATGTGAAAAACAAAATCGTCACGTAGCACCCTTGTATGCATGATGAGCATTTCTACAGTCGACATGTACTAAACACAGTCACATTATGCTGTCTTCTATTGTACATAGCATTTAGATCTACATCTACAATTGTATTTTTGTTTACTCTGTCATGCAGACGCCTAGCTGCAGCAGCACTGGAAAGAGACAATATATCATCGGATGAAGCAAGCGAATCAGAAGACGATGTGAGTTGAAATTTATAAATTTAATATTTTAAGGTAGTAAAAGAATTCACTGCATTATCATTAAAACATTGTGATTGTGAGGTTTCTGATTTTTCTCTCCCTTAAAATTCTTGTGATGCGCTGGTCGTAAGATAATCACTATTGTCAGTGTTTTCTATGTACATATTAAAACC